TGCATGGCAAAAAATGCTGACTGAAAATCGGTGGGCATCTTCTTTATTCAGTGTGACATGATGCTTGGGAAGACTGCTGAGACTGAGTGTGTTTTGCAGAGCTAGCATTAGCATTTAATCAGGCAATGTCCATGTTTTTAATAGCATACTACTAAACTGCTCATTTTATGTGAGTGGCATGCCAAAAGTTAAGACAAATAAATAAAAAATAAATTTCCAATATTATAACTTGCTAACACTTACTGAAGCAAGGAAACGTAATGCAACATAATTAATGTCACAACAATGTAGAATACAATTGTTTGAAATGTTTATTTTTGCATTATGTACATTTTAAAAAGCGTGTAATTTCTGTGATATCAAAATAGTTTTATATTTATTTTTATAGTATAATTATAAATATAAATCTGTTTAATTAACTAAATATATATCTGTTTAATTAACTAAATATTTGGTCATTTATTATGAATATGATTATGGAGGATTGTGAGTGCCATATTAATATAAATAAATAAATATTCATTGAAAACTTAATTGGATGTTACAGAAATTACACACTTTGTGCAGTGTAAAACACGATTTAAAACATATAATATATAAAATAAAATAATATTTAATGATTATTTCCTAATCGTGAGAACAGATAAAACCATTTCTATTGCACTGGAATGATCATTATAAATATTTTTATTTAAATTATTTGCATATTTATTATGGATATGATTATGGAGGATTGCGAATGCCATATTAAAATAAACAAACAAACCTAATTGAAAACCATTTGGATCATACAGAAATTATACACTTTAAATCACATTCTAAAATATCATATAATATACCAAATATTATAATATTTCTACAAATATTATTTCCTATTAATGAGTACAAATAATATAATTTATATTACACTGTAATGAACTTAAAAACAGGGAGAAAATATCAAAGATTTGTGACGTAGTTAATTGATTATGACAATAATCCGCCTCACATTGCCTCCAAATAAGACATAAGATTTAGAGAGCCGGATAACAGGCCAATGACATGCAAATAAATGGCTCCATGATTTTTCAATTTCATAGATTTCTTTTCCATCAATAATCCCAACGCTGACATCTTCTCACTTTTGACAAGACTGAACTTTATAATTCACTGGCGGAGGTCAGAGGTCAACAGGAGAGGGAAAGGAAAATAACTCCCTCAGTGAAAAGCTTGAAGAAAAAAAATCTGACATCCAATTTTCGAGTTGATTTATCAGTGTAAAGCCAAAATTGATACTGTGTCATTACTGGGCTCAGAGCTGTCTGGCAACGTCCTATCAAAGCCTTCTCTCTCTGATTTAGCAGCCCAGATCAATACAACCCTATACTGTTTCAATTTGAGAAGTATTGATTTTCTGATGCCGACTCAATACAGGGGACATTCATCATCAGGCAAGCATGAAGTATGATCGAACTAAAGATTCGTAGGCCGGATTTGGTTATTTGGCTTTCAGCTCATGCAGCCATAGAGCAATTGCTATGTAGCGTTGCATCTTTCGGTGCGTCATCCCTCACAGATTATTTGATTTTACACAACAAAGAACATTTATTTATTTATTTAATAATGTACACAACTGCTTTTCTGGTAGTGCTCATCAATATATATATATATATATAAAAAAATAAAAACATCTGCAGTTGTTACACACACACAAAAAAAATTATGGTGAAAATCAAAGCGGTGCTCCAATGCATCATGGGAACGTTTGTGCTTTCAGAAGCCTAAATGTGAAAACCTGATACGGCGCATTTTTCAAATCAGTATTCGATCATTTTTCATGTGTCCCCAGGCTGTAGCAAGTAAAAGGAGAGCAAAAGAAGAAAACCAATCTGGGTGCGTTCACGCTCAAAGACGCACACAAACAAACTAATACAAATACATTTTCAGGCGGACACACTAACTCACACATATGCAAAGTACACACACACACACACACACACACACACTTCAGAACGCCGCAGGCTTTCTATTTTACAGAAGCCGCATAAATGGGAAAGTTAATGTAGCATTGAATAAGACTAAGCTGCTCAGCTGTAACACCGCCTTGAGCTCATGAACATATTGCATCATTTTTCTTCTCCAGCAGGTTACCATTAAATTTGAATTTGTTGGAAGTTTTGTGGTACCATTTACAATGTGCCCCAGCTCAATAACCTTTTGTCTCAATGCAAATGTTATGCCTTCCAGGTGGTTTTCATAAATATTTGAATAAGTCTGAATAGTGGCAGAGACTTTCAGCCAAACCACCGTATCAAGCTTTTTATTATTTTGTGTAGTTGGTGTTAGATGCTCTTTATTATTATGGTACAAGGACCATGATGTGATGAATTTAAGGCAGCATTTGAGAAACTGGATGCCACTGTTACATAACATGTTTCAGACATGGTCAGCCTTTGATGATACTGTCATTTCATGGAGAATTGAGAATACTAAATACATTTTTAATTAACTAAAAGTGTTAATTAATGTAAATTACATGAAAATTATATTTATTAATATGGCACTCCAATCATCCATAGTCATCCCCTAAATAAATCACTCAATAAATAAATAAGTGTATTAAGATTCACATGTGAATACCCATAACTATAATGAAACAAGCATCTCAACAATACTTGAAAAATAATAATGAATAAACAAATACGAAAGGCTACAAAGCAAGCAAACCTAAAATGAATATTTTATGTTAGAACAAACTGCAGTGTTATTTCTTGTTTTATCCTGTAAGCACATGGGAAATGTGTTCTAAACACAGACTTAAAATTTAAAATAGGACAACCCACGTACAGAACATATTTATTAACCTTGTACTAGAACTCTGTCTCTCACACAGGCAGCCGCGTCTGTCTTCATCCATTGCAGTGACCCTCGGTGCAGGCCTTGCCAGTCTTAAGCCAAAGTGCTTTTTTTTGTGTCTGCTTGAGTATTTTAGTTTGATTCAGCTACATAATGAAGTTTCTATGGAAGCTTGTTTGCGCCACAGAATAAAAATGTAAAAAAGGTAATTGCCAATTATAAATTTTTTCTTGAAATTGCGAGCTTATATCTCACATTCATTATTGTGAATGTGGTACAGTGCGGTTACAGCACTGCTAATGTAAGACTCTGTGTCTGACAACATGTCAAAGAACAAGGACTGACAGATCAAAATTATGGGACGTCTAGAATCTTTGGATTGATCAAAACTGATAACAGAAGTACAATCAGTCCACCATTTCCACCGAAGCAGTTCATGCTGATGTTTCTTATTGGAGCGGTAAACATGACGCCATCATGTACATTCAACCATCTGCAGTGGATTTCTCCAATTTAATAAGAAACCCACAGCCACTGTTTCTGCAAATCCAGCCAATTTGGAAGGCAAATCAGTAATTGTGCTTGGAGTGTGTTTGTGTACAAATGTTCGTAAGTGGGTCTTCTGGCTGTTGGCCAATGTGTTCCACCAATGGAACTGAAGGCACATTTGCTGCAGGCAATTCCACAGCTATTTCAATTATGGACTTTCTGCTAATATTCATATTTTATATACATTATAGTTTTAATATTTAATATTTATTTTAATGAGTATTCTGTCAATGCTTTCCAGTTGAAATATCTTAATATTTAAAAATCATTACAACAATTTTTTTTATAGATCGCAAGTGTGTCTTGTTTTCCCATTAGTTTTTTTAATTGTTTAACTGATAATGAGCTATTGCTCACCCCCATCCCTCTCGTCCATTTTTTATGTATTCAGTGGTGCATTACCATCAAGAACAAAACTAATCCACTGCGTCCTCAGTGGCTCTGATGACGGGAAAAAAAATTACGATTTTTAATAAAGGAAACAAATCTTAATAAAGGAAACAAATGAAAAATACACTCATATTAAAGAAACACTTTCTGAAAATGTATTAATATTTTTATATTTATTTAATATTAATATTTTACGGAGAGTTGCTTTACAAATACATGTGTCTTGTAAGGTATTTGTCTTGTTAGATATTGCAACTTGGCACCAAGTCAAAAAATTTAGAAGTAAGATAAAAATTCATAAAAATGAAATTATTGTGTAATTTCTGCCCCTCTAGTGTCACCAAGTGGAATTGCTAAAATAATGACTGTTTTCAAATGGGTTTTTATTCTTCCGACTGCCATTGGTCAAACAAACTTACTGTCCCACCCCAAACACACATCATTGGTTGAAACACAGACGGCTTACTTATAGTTGTCTCAGTATATTAAAGTGGGTTAAAAGAAAGTATTTTAACATGTATTTAAATTATTACTTTACTACATTCAAAGCTGTTTGTGCTAGTTGTTGTTTCTTAATTTTTCTCCTTGATCATGATCTTGAGATAAAACCGTCACTTTGTACAGACTTATGTCTTAGATCTTGGCTTATATTGGGTCTGTTTGTGTGTGTTTGGTGGGAAACGGAACTCTAGTCAGTATTTTTGTAACAGGACCCTTGAGACCACTGTAACAACTGCCAGGTGCTCCACTGTGAGACTGAGAGGGAGAGTCAGACACACACACACACACACACACACACACACAGCCTGACCACCAGTGATCTGTCTCTGAGGATTTAGTGGTCTGGTGTGGTAATTGAGTTTGCTGACCTGTAGACCGACCCTGGTGGAGAGCAAGAAAATGACATTAAATAGGAGTCACATCAGAGGCCTGGCTGTGTGTGTTTGTGTCACAAAGGTAATAGTATAATACTCGCCTCTAAAAAGACCGTACACAGACCATGGAGAAGATGCACGCTATTACAAACACATACACACACACACACACACACACACACTGACAAACACAGGTGTTTCTTCAACTACAGCAACTTGTATGCCCCAGGGTTTTTTTGTTTTTTTTTGTTATATGATGGCCACATTAAATCTGTCTCCTGAAAGCTTTGTCTACAGGGCCAAAAGTGGCCACAATTGAAGAAACACCCTCACACATGCACACAGCTGTACCTCTGCGCTACTGAGCCCCAGGCTCCGTGTTTATTGGTGAGGATGTTGAGGATCTTCTGTTTCAGCTGATTGGCTGTCACATGATCACGGTGTTTGGCGGCACTGATGAGGTGATCACACATAGTCTCCTCTTCTTTTCTGTCTGCCGCGTACTGTGCGCAGTTAGACTGACCGACATATGGATGAAAGAGAAAGAGAGAGAAAAGATGTAAAAGATTAACAACTACAGTAAACATCACAATGAATCAGTATTCTGAAAACAAGAACTCAGTTGGATGAATTGAGGGACAGTTCATCCAAAAATGAAGCGTCATCCTTTTCTCATCCTCATGACTATCTGAATTACATTCTTTCTTATGCAGAACACAGAAGAAGACATTTTAAAAAGGGCTTATTGTCCATACAGTGAAAATCAATGAGGTCCAGTGCTGTTTTGACTTCCATTCACCCCACTGACTTTCATTACAAACTAGTGCTGTCAAACGATTAATCGCATCCAAAATAAAATTTGTTTACATAATATGTGTGTGTATTGTGTATATTTATTATGTCTATATAAATACATACACATGCATGTATATATTTAAGAAAAAAAATTTGTTTACATATAAAATATTAATATTTATATATAATATAAAGTATATATATATATATATATATATGTTATGTAAACAAAAACTTTTATTTTGGATGTGATTAATCTCGATTAATTAACACTGTTTCAAACGGTTAAAACATTCTTCAAAACATCATCTGCAGAAGAAAGTCAGTCATACAGGTTAGGAATTACGTGAGAGTGTTTTTTTCTTCATTTTTGGACTGTTCCTTTAAGAACCAAGAATGTCCATTACTTTACCATGTCAACATACAGTGCAACATACCATTTACTTATCCTGATATTGTTCCAAACCTGAGTATGTATTTTTCTGTGGAACACTAAAGAACATATTTTAAAGAATGCCTCAGTGTTTTTTTTTTTAAGTTAGTGAGGTCTGTGTTGTTTTGGACATTGACTTTCATTATATGGCGAAAACAACTAAAACATTCCTCAAAACATCTTCTTTTGTGCTCTGCAGAAGAAAAAGTCTTAGAGGTTTGGAAAGACATGAGGGTGTTTTCATTTTTGGATGAACGGTCCCTTTAAGAACAAAGAATGTTTTCCATTACTTTACCATGTCAATATACAACATATATCATATTTACCACTTACTTTCCCATTTACTCATCCTCACGTTGTTCGAAACCTAAATGATGTTCTCACTTCTGTGGAACACAAAAGAAGATATTTTACAGAATGTCTCAGAATTTTTATTTTTTGTTCATACAGTGAAAGTTTATAAGGTCCCGTGTTGTTTTGGACCCCACTGACTTTCATTATATGGACAAAAACAGCTGAAACATTCCTCAAAACATCATTTTTTTGTGTTCTGCAGAAGAACTTTCAGAAGAACAAGGTTTGGGATGACATGAGTGTAAGTTTGGGTTAACTATCCCTTTAAAGGGGACATTGGATGCCCATTTTCCACAAGTTGGTATGATTCTTTAGGGTCTTTATGAAATGTCTGCAACATACTTTGGTTAAAATGCCTCAATGGTCGTGTAAAACAACACACTTTTTACCTAGTAAAAAACAGCTCTGTTTACAGCGGCCCATTTCAGTGCATGTCTCTTTAAATGATAATGAGCTACTGCTCACTCCACCCATCTCTTCCATTTTTTTGTGTGTATTTGGTGGCACATTATCATCAAAAACAAAACTAATCTACTGCATCCTCAGTGGCTCTGATGTTGGGAAAAAATTAATACTCTTTTGTTCACTTTTACATTCAACTACAAAACACCTGCATTGCTCGCGAGACATTGCTGTCGCTACAGCAGCTTGAGCGTGGAGAAATTGTCAGACCGCGTACAACTTGCTGAGGGTGGAAATATGCTAATACGGGACAGTCCGTCAGCGGTTGTGGGCGGGGCCTAAGCGGTACTCTGAAGAGCCACTTACAAACAAACTGAACTTGTTTTATACTTAAACTTTATTTATTTACTGAACTGTCATAGCAGAATTTGAATTTGTCTCATATTTGAAGAATTCTGCATCATTGATTCTGTTATTACTGTGAAGCTGCATCTGTGTTGTATAAAGCACTATAACTTTAAAGTTCACTTTTTACAGACAGAAGCTACAAACAGGCACTATAAACAGCACTGAGACTAAAAGGTCTCTCAGACTAAGGGTGACATGAAGCAGCCCGCTGACTTTATCTTCCCCGCTACAATAAGATTGTCTTCCCACGTGGACCCCGGGGGGGGACCTCTTGCTAATATTCAAAATCTAATTTGCTAACACAAGCTGGTGGGGTGCAAGAGAACAGAGAGGAGGGGCGAGAGCAAGTAATTGAATTTCCTTTCTTATATTTGAATTCTGTCAGATATTATACCTCGACATATTCTTCAAACGGCCGATAACTCAATCTCCCGGCGTCATCTCTCCTTACCATGTGCCGCGCTGACAAATATCAAACGTTATTTATCACTTCAAGGGAGGATATGAGGGTTGAAACTGACACCAGCTTAATTGTAAAAATATCTTATCTGCTTACAGAATCTTCAATCTGTAGACCGAGGTAATAAAGAAGAGGAGGAATGAAAGCCGTGCACCCATCCTTCTCCAGGACTTGAGGGGCAAGACGACGTCTTTGGTTAGCTGTGACATCGCCTATCTAGAGCCTGCTGCTTTTTATCTAGCAGGTCAAGGATCCTCAAGAGCAGTATATAAAACAACCGTCTCAGACAGGCTGCGCGTTGCAGATAGGAAGCTCATCACTCCATCACTTCATGTACTCGTGCGTCTGTGTGAAAGAGTGTGTGCTGACTGCATACTGATGTCATGCACGTGCCCTCAGAGTTTCATATCAGAGATACATGATGACAGATTCCACAGTAAGTGCTGCTAATCCTTGATTTACATTTACAGCAACCACTGCATCATTGACAGAATAATAAAGATAGGTTGATACTGATATTCTAAGAAGTTAGTGTAACATTCATCTTCACACTGAATATATTACAGTTATAAGGTACAAGAGAATGCATTCTATTGTGAATAGTCATGACTAAAGGATAAAACATGATCTTAAAGGGGTCATATGATGCGATTTCAATTTTTCCTTTCTCTCTGAAGTGTTGTAAGCTCTTGGTGCATAAAGAAGATCTGTAAAGTTGCAAAGACTAAAGTCTCAAATCCAGAGATATTCTTTATAAAAGTTAAGAGTCAACCACGCCTACCTAAAACGGCTCGTTCTAACACGCCCCCACATGTCTACGTCACGATGTGGGGAGATTTGCATAACGCCACCCAAATGTTCACGCAAAGAATGAAGGCGTAACTTTTATTCTTAGAATTTGCCAGTGACGATTCAAACACGAGTTTTGAGCAGTGTAGAGTAGCGCTTGTTGTTTGTCATTTCTCCGATCATAAAAGCAGACATGGTTTTATGTTTATGTGGCATGATGCAACGCATAAAAAGATAGTATATGTCATTATAATCCGTCCCCACTGGATGTAACAAATGCCTCATTTATAATGGGTTTTAATGTTTTTGTCTCGTCGCTCCAGCCAGACAGGCATCACAGTATGGTAAGGGGCGCAACATTTCCGTCACACGCTTGAAGTATTCGGCCAATCGCAATGCACCGGATAGCTGGCCAATCAGAGCACACCTAGTTTTTCAGAACAATGAGCTTTGTAAAAATCGACGCGTTTCAGAAAGGCGGGGCATAGAGGAGAAACAATAATGTACAGTATATGGAAAATAATGTGTTTTTTTAACCTTAAATCGCATAAACACATTGCATTACACCAAATACACCAACTAATGTTATTTTTAGCAACATCATATGACCCCTTTAACTAAATACACACACTTTTTAATTATTTTTGGTCATAGAAAATGGATTCAAATGAGATTTCAGTTATTAGATTTTTTTTTCTTTCCTTTGATTTTTTTTTTGTCCTCGTAGTTGTTTGTTTTTTTTTGGAAGGAGAGCTTACAAATTAAGAATGTGTAAAAGATGTTGAGCAAAATGGTGCAGTGGGGGTGAGGAGTATTGATTTAATTATTGTTATTATTATATTACCGATATGCAAAAAGACCATAAAAATACTGATATATACACACACACACTACTTTTCAGACAGCAAAAATGAATATAAAATATTGAAATCCCCTCAGCCTTTATCTGTTTTGTACATTAGAATACAATTAAACATAATTATGATATAATGAATAATTATATGTAAGGGATAATGCATGGCTAGCTGTGCATTAAACAATTTTAATGCACAACGTGGAGGCCAAGAACCACCCGTCATGAAGCAGAGCCTCCACGGAGTATTCAGTATTCAGACACACCATGGTATAAATAATTATCATTATATACATATAGTGGTTGTACTTGGTATAAAATAATAAAATATGAATATAAACCCCTTTCAGCCATGATGATATTCCCAATACATCCTGTCTTCAAGCATTTTACATATTAAAATAAAATTAATCATATATTTGGTTTATGTTTTAATTAGTGCTGTCAAACGATAAATCGCGATTAATTGCATCCAAAATAAAGGATTTTGTTTACATAATATTATTGTAATATTTGTATATTATAGTATTATTAATATTATGTAAATACATGTAAATATTTTCAAAATATATGCTGTATGTGTGTGTATTTATATATACATAATAAATATACAAAGTACACACACACATATATTATGTAAACAAAAACTTTTATTTTGGATGCGATTACTCGCGATTAATCATTTGACAGCACTAGTATTTTTTTTTTATTTAAAAAAAGGTTTTATTATGAACAGTTTAATTAACATTTTTCAACACTAACATTTTTTAGGGGGAAAACCATAAGTCGCGTATAAGTCACATTTTATTGTTTCATTCAGAAATAGGCCTAATGCTGACAATATTGTAATATTTGTATATTATAGTATTATTAATATTATGTAAATACATGTAAATATTTTCAAAATATATGCTGTATGTGTGTGTATTTATATATACATAATAAATATACAAAGTACACACACACATATATTATGTAAACAAAAACTTTTATTTTGGATGCGATTACTCGCGATTAATCATTTGACAGCACTAGTATTTTTTTTTTATTTAAAAAAAGGTTTTATTATGAACAGTTTAATTAACATTTTTCAACACTAACATTTTTTAGGGGGAAAACCATAAGTCGCGTATAAGTCACATTTTATTGTTTCATTCAGAAATAGGCCTAATGCTGACAAGAAATGTTTACAAACATAATAATAAACACTGTAAACATAGCTAGGCTATTTTAGTTCCCCTCACTCCACAACAAATCCTTTCAATTAACAGTATTTAGAAAAGAACAAGAATTAAAAATATAAGAAGCTATAGCAATATAAACGATAAGCCAAAACGAATTAATTTAGGCTAAAACGAAACTGAAACCAACATTGGGTCTCTCATTCCACACTAAATCAAATGTTTCCGTATTCGTGATGTATTTGAATGGCAAATTATTATTTATTATGTAGCCTAGGCTTCACTATAGGCGTTCCAATATCTACGTAAAACAAAATGTTTTGCATAACATCATTCACGGCGGTACTGTGATAACGCTTAACGGCACAGATTTTACTACATCGTTTTTTTCCCCATATGTTTGATTGACTGTATTTTATTATGATAATGAACAGGCTGCATTGTCAAGGTAGCAATGCTTAACTGTGTGTGCGCATGCGGCGCCGGCGCAATCACTTGAGTTTTTTCCTTCTAACAGTGGAAGCAACTACTTCTTTTAGTCATAAAGTTAATCGGAATTGTAAAAGGTTTGTGTACATTCACAATAAAAACAAATATTTGTGCTTTTGTAAAATAAGCCTAAAGAAAAATAGGATGCCGCTTTCTGCCATCTGTTTCCTTTCGCGCAACACAAAAATGAACCGAAACTCTGCATACTAGGCTAGGCTACTTGTTGCACAGTTTTTCTTTCATTTTCTTAATTTATTAATTAAGTAAAAATATGTTTCTCGTATAGGCCTATTTATTTGTTTTATATACAACTAGCTTTATTATGTTTTTCTCCGCTGGCAGAAGCGCTGCAGGTGCGTGATGTGATATGATATGGCCATGTGAATCCTCATGTTCTGTTGTTTGCTGCTTTTTGCGCATGTAAAATGAATCCCCGGAAAACAAATGTTAGTATTTTTTAACGGGTCACAGACACTTATCCTTTGTAATTTCATTCAATTCTAATTTAAAATAATCTTGTCGGTTAACAGTTAACAATCGGTTAATGAGCGTCGGTTGTCGGTTAGGAAAAATAACCGAAATGAACATCCATACAGAGCTCCTATCTAAACCTTGCTAAATACTAAAGTAAAGAACATTTTCTGTCTCTTGATAGAAATAGCTAATAGTTTAAAATGAGACATAAACACAATCTCTTAACATTGTTCCTTACTTTTCAGAGGCCACTTATGTATAATTAAGGGAAGAGTTATTAAGTGTCTTAGTACTGAGCTAATATCTGTTGATTAATCCGCTGTAGGAGACATGAGCAGAGGATTATGGGCCTCCCCCACTGCTGGCTTTACTACAGATTTTCTCTCTCGTGTTGTATCGGATTCGCAAAAAAACAGATTTCTTTGTAGATTATTTAGGTTTCACATGGATTCAGAGTGGGATTAGCGATCTGATCTAGCTACTTAATTCAGTCATATTACACAGTAAAATATCTAAATCCAGAACAGATCCATGGGGATCTATTGACTAAATACTTTTTTGCCCCACTGTATATATATATATGCATGTACTGTTGGTCTAAAAAGGCCTTGATTCTCAGAAGTCATCTACCTCAAACTCTGCATGCTTGTGGACGTCCTCAGCTCGCTGTCTGTTAAGGATGAACTCTGCTTCATTGGCCACTCGAACGATGTGATCCTTCATGGCATGACAAAGGAGTCTAAAATGAAGAAAATATGGTTTTCAACTGGGAATTTAAAACAAATGGCATTCAGTCAGTCCCTAAACACACATAAAATAACACATCTGCACATGACACACAACCCACCACACAATTCTCAGTTTGATACCCTTATAGAAAATGCAATCATTCATCTTTTATGGGATCTCTGTTACTTTGTGTTAATTGTCATTTTACACATCATTAAGTCAGCTTTGTTTTAATTAACAAGAACCATGGCGTTTCTGTGGAACATAATGCTGAGCGTAAATTTCCATTCCCATCCCGCAGAGGGGCTTCAATCCGGTATACAGAATTCAAATGTGCATGCTTCTTTAAGTGTTGACAAGCAATAAATAATATTTGGCGCTCAGAGGAGGAAGAAAAAAATAGTACACAACCTCAATCTCAGCATGGTAACAGTTCAAATTTAAATCTAGGGCATGACTTTACTTCTTCAGTACTGGCAGAGAAGTTGAAACAGCAGCTGTGCATCATGAAGAGTATGTTAAAGATCCACAGCAAAACATTTATTGAGTATTTCTAGAGTTCCAAAAGGCAGAAAGTGTTGTGGCCTTGGTGACTTATATGACGGTGCAGGTGAAACAGAACAGGGGCTCCAGAGCAGAGGCACAGGGGTGACATATATCCAAAATAGTGACATGGTGCGGCTCATAAATCACAGATGCCCTACTAAAAACTGAATGTATATAAATAAACTGGAATAGACTGTTATATAAACACTCCAAGGCTGAAAGTTCGTGCAATTACTTCAGAAATTACTCCACAAGCAAAGTTTTACAAAGTACTTTAATACTTTTCATTTAGTTTGTTATTAGAACATAAGGAGACTTTCCAAGAGGCCAAACACAACATTAGTCTCATTAAATAGTTCAAATAAACTAGCCAGTTAATATATGGAGTGCATCTGCTGGTTTCTGAAAGAAAAATCACTTTCAATCTGTCCATTTTTTTTTCAGTGATTACATACAAACCTACCGTACCATCAGTTCTAACTGCTTTGTTTTTAAAATAAATAAATAAATATGTATAGAACACATACATACATAAAGTGTATTTATACATTAATCAATATATTTATTTATCAAAATCCTAATTTATCCTAATTATTATATTTTATACGTATTTGTTTTTGTAAACATATTTCATCAATGAATTAAAAAATACACTAATTATTACACACTACCATTTAAAGGTCTGTAGGATATTTTGAAATGTTTTTATAGGGGTCATATGATGCGATTTCAAGTTTTCCTTTCTCTTTGGAGTGTTACAAGCTGTTCATGAATAGATAAGATCCCTAAAGTTACAAAGACTAAAGCCTCAAACCCAAAGAGATATTCTTTATAAAAGTTAAGACTGGTCCACGCGCTCCTGAAACGCCTCGTTTAAACACGCCCCCACATGTCTACGTCACGATGTGGGAAGATTTGCATAACGCCACCCAAATGTTCACGCAAAGAAAGAAGGTGTAACTTTATTGTTGCTGCCACCGCCGCCGCCATGTTGTGAAGACGCTGTGTGTTTCATTGCGAAAGTGAAAATTCTTTGTTTGGTTTTCCAAAAGAGGACACGACTAGAAATCAGTGGTTAAGTTGTATTTAAAACACTGTTCCAGAACAGTTCAACCCAAATATTCAGATGTGTGCAGCACATTTTATGGAGGACTGTTTCCTGATCCTGGTAGAGTAGACTACAATGCCGGCTGTTCTGACTCACAGTCCCTAAGTACGTTTTCATATTTAAAGGATTTGCCACTGAACGCGAGTTTTGAGCAGTGTAGAGTAGCGCTTGTTGTTTGTCATTTCTCTGATCACAAATGCAGACATGGTTTTATGTTTACGTGGCTCGATGCAACGCAACGCATAAAAAGACAGTATAAGTCATTATAATCAGTAATTATGTCCCCACTGGATGCAACAAATGCCTCGTTTATAATGGGTTTTAATGTTTTTGTCTCGTCGCTCCGGGACACGGCATCACAGTATGGTAAGGGGCGTAACATTTCCTTCACATGCTTGAGGCATTCGGCCAATCACAACACACTGAATAGCTGGCCAATCAGAGCACACCTCGCTTTTCAGACCGATGAGCTTTGTAAAAATCGACGCGTTCAGAAAGAGGAGAAACAATAATGTACAGTATGGGGAAAATAATGTGTTTTTTGAACCTTAAACCACATAAACACATTTCATTACACCAAATACACAAAATAATGTTCTTTTAGCAACATCATATGACCCCTTTAAAAGAAGTCTATTTTGCTCACCAAGGCTGCATTTATTTAATCAAAAACACAGTAAAAATTTTTATGAAATATTGTTACAGTTTAAAAATAACTTTTTTTCTATTTAAATACATTTAAAAAATTTAGATTATTCCTGTGATGGCCAAGCTGAATTTTCAGCAACTATTAGTCCAGTCTTCGCTGTCACATAATCCTTCAGAAATGATTCTAATACGCTGATTTTATTTTATTTATTTATTTATTTATTTTAATAACAACGTTAAGCCTTTAAAATGTTGATCAATTTAATGCATCCTTGCTGAACAAATGCATTTATTAAATTTTTTTTTTAATAAAAATACTGACCCCAGACTTTTGAATGGTAGAGTATTTAATTACAGATTTCCCTGTGAATTACTAAAAAAAGAGAATCTCCTTGGTATAAGAGAAGGCACTGTTGCTAGTAGCATCCATCCACTCCCATGAAACATTCCAAAATACATATTTATATCACTTAATTTAACCTCTATAAAGAACACGAATGGGAAAATGCTTCCAGGCGATCACTGTAGGCGATCACTACTCTACTGCCACTGAGGTAAGGATTTGGAATGAGAGCCACTGATACAGACAGACAGAGAGACAGATAGACAGACAGGTAGAGAAGGTGAATGACTGATGTGCCAGCACCCTGGACAGCGACTATCTCTGCTGACTCAGGCTTAGTGTCCAAATGTGTGTGTGTGTGTGTGCACAGATGGGTCAGCAGATGGATGTGCAGGCTGAGCCGCCCTGGATCAGCTTGACAACAATGATTCAAAGCCTAAACCTGACAAACACATGGACAAAGACATACACGCACACAAACACAATCTTTTTTGAGACAGAAAAGTATACCTAAAAAAACAAAACAGCATGTTGGATATGTTTAAAAACTCACACATGATTTACACATTCTGGAGAGAAAGTACATCAGAGGATTTATAAAGCCACTCTCTCTCAACATGCTTATCTCAGCGTATTTTCCACTCTGGTCAACCACTTCCACTCAAAACACACACACACAGACTGTAGCCAAACTAGTGGGATGAGAGGCTTAGGGGCTAATCTGGTTCCCTCCCTGATGCCATGGCAACCGGACAGCCGAACAGACCAGCACTAGATAACCAGTTTAAAGTGACATTAGCTACAGTACAGTGATATGTGAGCTAGTAATGGTGTTTGAGGAGCAGAAGTGAGACTTTACCTTCCCTCGTTGATAAGTTCAATGAAAGCCAGGCCAGCATTCTTCTGTATAGAGTTCTGCCACTCCTGAAAGAAACAAACATTTTTCGTTTATATGTAGCTTGTGTTCATTTTTCATCAGTGTGATTAAAGACAGCTTTTGCACCAAGGGAACAAGTATATCCAAAAGAATATCTAAGTGTTGATGTTGATTTAAATAATTTTGAAACTAAGTTCTTTGTATTTTTGTTACATAAAAAGTCCCATTAAAATCAACTTGGAAACGTTTTGCTGGACCCAGACTTTTGATCTTAAATATTACGAACCATCATAAAAATATTAACCATTACATTTCTAAAACTTCAATAGTGTGTTATAAAAATGCTTAATATTATTAATAATACGAAAAATATTTTAAATATATATTAATTTTAATAATTTATAATTATTATCAGTGCTATTTTAGTACTGTTGATATACTATTATATTTATTCATATTATGAATCCGTTTTTATTTTTATATTTTCTGTTTATATTTTTAAATTTTAATTTAGTTTAGCAATTTAGTTGTTATTCATTTTATTTCAGTGTAGTTATTTTTAGTACAAGTTTAATTAAATTAAAATGGGAAATGTTTTTTTTTTCAGTTAATGTTTATTTCACGTAACAAATTTTTTAAATTTATTTATACATACATACTTACAAAATTGTAATATTATTTATATAGTCATTTCTACCACTTTTTTACTTGGATACCAAGGAGACAACATTTTGAAGGAAAATCAAGATAAATCTCACTTTTCCAGTCCATTTCCAATCACATTGTATTTTATGCATTAAGTGTAAAAATATTATTTAATTTTGTGAATTTAGGATATACGCAAATATGCATGAAAACAAGAAAGTTAATTTATGGTTAGATCCAAATAAGTCCTGGTGAAAATTGATCGAAGAACATCTATAATACAATAAATAAATAAAAAAACAGTGGCAAAAACATCTGCACACAAAAATATATCTCTCCTAAAGTCTCATGTTAAGCCTAAATGAAACATCTAGTGATAGTGATCGCAGCAAATTGGATTGCTATGTATTTGAGAAAGCAAAGACGGCTTTGAGGTCACATACAGTCTACGCGATCGAGAGCCAAAGCCATAAAAAGGCTGGAACTCAGCCTTGTGTGTGTGCAAGCATCTTTTCTTCCTCTGCGCAAAGATCCGTAAACACTGGAGAGATGTAATTGCTGAATGAAACTGTATCCTCTTGCCCCTTAAACACAGCCATTTCCTCCCTGTGAGCACCCAGTGACAGATCACCGAAGACCTCCGTCTAGAGACTGGCCCTCTCGCCTTGCCTCGAGCGCTTTTGAGGCCTTAGGGAACGTCTCATGCCCTCCCTCTCCCCGTTTCCCGGGCTCTCCTTCCCCTGCTGTCTCTCACACACACAGCACGGGTCTGGAGGTGATTAAAAGGCAGTCGTGCTTCTCACTATGGGAAACTTTCCTCCATTCTCCTGTTTGCTCTCTAAGGTATGAGTTAAAGGGGAAGAGCATAAGCAGGGTTGAAGTTCAAAAGGAAAGATGGCATTTGCAAAAAGGGGCCTCAAAAATATTCCCCTGTCCCGTGGTGAGGGAGTCAGGGTGAGAGAAGAGCCGCTCGGGATGGATGTGAACGATGCTCTCAGAACAAGAGTGTTTTGAGCATTTTATTTTCTTTTAATTGTTTTATTTCCCAGTTTCATATTATAATATGACATTCATGTTTTCTGCAAAGACCTTTACAAACACTATTTTTAAAGGTGCTGTATAAATAAAGCTTTGCTTAGTCAGTGATGACAGGGAATGCTGGGAAATATGGCCTTTTCTGTGGTTGGGTGGTTTTAATCGGTAATGTATAGTGGCCCAAAAAATAATTTTGGACATGAAAGTTTTTAACTGTGAAATGTCAGAACTAACCACACTTTTCTGAGTCATTTTTGCTATTTCTTCTACTCAACTGGTCCCCCCAAAAAAGCTGTATGAATTCAATGGCAAGAACCTCTAAAGTTTGACTTCCAAATAATCATCTTCATCAGCATCATTTTCAACAGACCATGCAGAGCAGCCCATTTATTTCCAAACATTTCACGTCTTAATTATAGATAGATAGATAGACAGACAGACAGACAGATAGATGATAGACAGAGAGATAGATAGATAGATAGATAGATAGATAGATAGATAGATAGACAGACAGATAGATAGATACTAGACAGACACACAGACAGACAGACAGATAGATGATAGACAGA